TCGCGTCTTTGCCGCAAAGGTGACCCGCGACTTAGGCAACGCAAGCTAAGTTCGCGTCTTTGGCCGCAAGGGTGCCTCACGCCTTAGGCAATTCCAGCTAAGGCCGTGACAATGTCCTCAATCTCCACATAATGTTGCAACTCTACAAGATCAGCAATGTTCTTGTTTAATCCACTCAGGAATCGAGCCATGGTGGCCTCACGGTCTTCCTTCACATTAGCCCTTATCATGGCTATCTCCATCTCCTTGTGATACTCATCAACACTCATGAAACCTTGTGTCAAGGTTTGTAGCCATTGATGCAAATCCCTATAGTAATAGCTAGGGACAAATCTCCTCATGATTTGTTTCATCTCCAACGAAGTCTCCACGGGCCTTTCACCATTTCTACGCCTATCTTTACATAATTGATCCCACCAAACAATAGCATAATCAAAAAATTCAATAGCGGCTAATTTTACCTTTTTCTCTTCAGAGTAGTTGTGACATTCAAAGATCATCTCCACTTTTCGTTCCCACACCAAATAGGCATCTTGATTATTCTTCCCTTGAAAAGAAGGAATTTTCATTTTGATGCTGCCTATGTTTCTGTCCACACCATCAAAACTTCCTCTCCTAGTTTGTCTCCTAGGATTAACATCTGAACCAATTAGAGTAACTTGGTCATCATCCACATCATCGCCACCATCATATTCATCATTGACAAAGGTTGGTTGTCTCCCACGTCGTGGTTCACCTTGCAATCTATTAATTGCATCATCATGCCTTTCTAGATGATCTCTTACATCTCCTATCACTTTGAACATACGTTTAAATTGTTGCTACATTGCTTGAACTAAAAGATCATTTAATAAAGAACTCGCATCTTTATCTTTAAACATGTATACAACCTGAAAAAAAACATTAGAACAACCTCACCAACACTCCCTCACGTGTTTCACTCTAGATTTAATTCACTCCACTCGTGTTTCACACAATTTTTGGCTTTTCTAGATATTGATCTCACCACTCTTGCCTTTTACCTCTCTTGTTTTGTTATTTGAGTTCTTAGATTAACTAAGGTACCTAAACAAACAATTCAAATTATGGTAATTCAAAAATAGTGAAATTGGACAGGGTTAAAAGCAAACAAAAGGGACGCCAATTTAAAGGGGTGTGTAATACACTTTAATCATAAGCAATAGAATTCAAATATCAATTTAACAAAGAAAATATTTTTGGAATGAAGAAAGATTTCCAAACCGAAATAGGAATTCAAATGAACAAAGATAGAATCTTGTAATTTGCAAGAATTCCTTGAATCCGAAATTTTTTTTTTAAATTCTGATATCTTTTTTTTTTATCTTTGATTTTCTCTCTCTTTTTTGACCTTTGATTTTCACTCCTTTTTTTTTTACTTTTTGATCCTTTTTTTTTATACTATAAAGTACGGAATTACAAAGAAGAATAGCAATAACACAAGAAGCACAATAATGAAGATGAAGAAAGAACAATAATTATAGATAGTCTAAAAAGAAGAAGAAGATGGAGAGAAAAGGAAAATATAAAAGATAACAAATAAATGGATACGCAAACCTCAAACTTGAGTCGAGCTCTTATACCAAATGATAGAAATCATTAACTTAACAACCATACACCTCGATAGCTAAAGAGCTATAATACATATGGAATGCAAATTGACCTTCTCCAACGAATTGAAACAAGAAGGATCGTTCAAGATTTAAGTTAGGGAAACTATTCTAATCACTTTATCAATGAAAATTTGATGAAGTAATTAGAACAACACTTTGATTCCCTTAAAACGCCACAAACTAAGAAGCTTGATAAGTTGAAAGGAAAAACAAAGAATTTTGGGTTTTGAATGCCACAAGCAGAAAAGCTTGAAAGGTCCAAAGTTCATGCAATAACTTAAAAACAAAACACTCACCGGTGTTGAAAGTTGAATACACTTCTAAATTGTATTCCTTACAAAGGGAGTCAACTTTGTTTATATAGTACAAAAGCCAAGTACGAAGGGAATGAATCAATTAAATATATTAAATGACATTCATATTCCTAATGCATGAATGTAGATTACTCATGAATTTACCTTGAATTTATTTGAATGATTATTCATGAATAAGCCCATAATTCTTAATATGGTCCAATATGGCTGAATAACCTTTAGTCTTCAAAATGGGCTAAAAATTCATCATTCTTTCAAGGCTGGACTTTCTCTTCACGATGTGGACTTATTTGAATCAGGTTGACTATTTTAGGCTCTTCTTGTATCCATAGAACCTTGACCAAGTTTTGACCAGCTTGCTTCTTCCAAATGCCTTCCAATAAACAAGTTAAGGCTTCTTTCATGCTTTTAGCTTTAGCTCTTGTCATTGGTCCTCCATGAATAGTTAAAGGGTCTTTGGCAGAATTATAATCAACTTACTCATTCATATCAGCATGTATGGTTGGATAAAAGTACTTTAGTTAAAAAAAGGACCATTTTGTTTTCTTTTCCATTTTTTTTGTTGTTGCCTTAGGAACCTTAGTTGATCAGTTCATCAATAACTAGCTATTAAGCTTCTACTGCAACCACATTTTGAACTCTTATGGTCCCGTCTTTAGGCCCTATTTTGTCAGTTCAAGGTATAGTAAGTTTACCTTATATTTCTGTGAAGCAAATAAATGTTGTTCTTAGTTCCTGATTGTAGCTATTGTGTGATCTTAGAAGGCATAATGACCAGCATTTTACATTATAGATCATCATGTTGGTCAATTAGATTTCCTTTTTGCAATTCTCAGGACTTTTGTTTGGAGACTTTCATTGGAACTTTTATTTTAGGGACAGTTTTCATGCAAATTTGATGCATTACTGGTCCAAAATCAAGTATCTGTCTACTAGTTTTCTATTTTGTTTCTTTACAATCCACGAACAGAATCGAGAATTGTGGAAATAAATTTTCTGTATAGTTTGTTGCTCTCCAAACAAGGAAGAGAAAATGGAGGTCACAAGTGATGTTGGTTTGTGTTTGCTGAACGAGAAAATGTTGATGCCTCTTTTCACCTGATTTGTGCATGCCACTCCGAGCCTCTCCTCCATGAGGTTCATTCTGATTACAATTTTTTTTTAATTTATACATCCGTATTGGTGCTTCAGAATGGTATTCCAATCAGTTCTGCATCATATGCCACCAAAAGGAACAACATGAGCTGAAACCTTTTCCCTTAGGACTCTAGGATGACTGAAACTTAGTTTTACAAGATTTCACTATCGACAGATTATGATCCTCAAGCCACTAAACTGCACTTTGAGCAATGGCACGTATGATTGGTGCATTGTTGGGTAGTATAGGTCAGTTTGTCTTTTCCACGTTACTTTCTCTTGGAATCAGTTGTATGTATATCATTTGTCTAGCTGAAGGTTGCCCTTAACATAGGGTTATGATAATTAATTCGTGATTGTCTGTCCAAGGATTAATTAGCTTAGTTCTGTTTATACATATATATATATATGTGTGTGTGTGCGTATATATATGTATGCATAGATATGTATGTATATATATACATATATGTATATATATATGCACATATATATACACATGCATATACAAATATATATATATATATATATATACACAAATATACAAATATATATATATACACAAATATACAAATATATATACAAATATATAAATAAATATACAAATATATATGCAAGGTCTTTAATTTTGAATAATACGGTCGGTACTCGAATAATACTGCCCGTTACCATCCGCCAGCAGATCGGTACACAAACCGCCCACAACCGGACAGTATCATCGATTGGGGTTATTTCCACGCTTCACAGTGACCGAGGGAGAAGAAAGAAAGGGAGAAGGGTGGTATTAAGCGAGGGAAGAAAGAAAAGGGAGAGAGGAAAACCTGGAGATCGACGTCGCTCTCCCTCCTCGTCTGTTGGCGACTTCTCTCGGTGCGGGGAGAAGAATCCGCGATCGCGGGGAGAGGAGAGGCGACGTCGCAGGCAGAAAGAGGAGACGTAGCGGGCAAATTTTTTTTTAACTTATATATATATATATATATATATATATATATATATATATATATATATATATATATATATATATATATAAAGGCGGACGTCGTAGAAAAAATTTTCTTTTTACTTATATATATTTATATATATATATAAATATATATAAGTAAACGAGACGACGTTGCCTCGTTTTTTTTGCGACGTTGCTTTGGTGACATCGCCTCGCGTGAGGAGAGGAGAGGCAACGTCGCCTCGGCTTTCTACCCACGTGGGGAGAAGAAGGTTTCTTCTCCCCACGCACCAAAAAGGGCGACGAGGTCGTCGGTTTTTTTTTTTTTACTTTTATATATACCGAGCTGTATACCGAATTGTATCACTCGGTATATAGTATCGTACCATATCGAGTGAGTCTCAAAACTCCGGTACGGTACGAAATTTCAATACTTGTATATATATATATATATATATATATATATATATATATATATATATATATATATATATATACGTGTGTGTGTGTGTGTGTGTGTGTGTGAACTGCAAAGGTCAAAATACTTTTAAATGGTGCCATGATTTTGTTTGATCGAGACTACCATGGTAGCAAACCTGACACAGTAGAAAGTTTGTAGTAATAGTTAAATTGGGATTTCTATTGAAACTACGACTTAATGACTAGAGGCCATCAGTTGTTTTTATTGAAATTATAGTAAGGCAGGTCTTGGCTGGGCTAAACTTGTAACAAAGTTCTTATGTTTATTTGATATATTTAATTTCTGACCTTGTAATGGAAACTTGTTTCCAATGATTCCCTTGTATCAGTGAGGCCTTATATTATCTAGTTTTGACTTGGGCCTTAGACCATCTATCTTGACTTGCCAACTAAAACTATTTGATCCTTTGTTGTTGTTTGATATAACTTTAATATAATTATTTCATGTCTGAACTGGCACTTTCACTAATGATATCCTCATGTGCATTTTTATTATAGAGGTCACTGAAAGGATTAAAGATGAGAGTGGTGTCCTTGAAGAACGGGATCCAAGATATGATGAAATGCTTAGACATATGCTTGGAAAGATAACATCAAGGTCCGGAGGAAAACTAGAGATGGGTGAGGTGAGAATAATTAGGTCCATTCTTTTCTCTTTCGAAGTTTATTGTTACAACTACATATTTAGCTGGAGTTTCTACCGGTTCCTGTAGCTTTTGTTAAAATGCTATTAGTTTATGCTCTCATTCACAGAGAACTTTCACAGACAAACAAACGTTCTCTTAGCCTCGTGCATCATTTGAAGTACATGGAATTATTTGCACATTCATCTTGTTCAAATGTTGAAATCATAGAAACCGTTGCCTAAATTCGAGTTTACTCCAGAAGTAAATGATCTTATTCTCTTGGCCAATGCTTATCTGCATAAAATGGTAATGTGGACACAGATATTTTTGTTATGGTAGACATCAGAAAATAGCAGAACATCTAGGATCAGGAGCTCCTCAAAAGCATGTAAAAATTGCACTTTTTCTGTTCTATTCATCCTAGTCACTCAAATATTGTCTGGCTGCTGCTGTGTTCAATTTTTATAAGTGAATCATGGCTCAGAGTTAATATCCACTTGTAAATTGTTTGAGCATTTTTTTCATTTGTTTTCATAGTTTCTGAGAGAACTTCAGGGCTTCTCCAAGAGAAACGCTGGACTTGTTCCACCATAGGCAAGCCTGTTAACATGCTCCATAGACTGACCAACCCATGTGATTTTTGGCCTGCCTCCTCGTGTTGGATGTGTGTTGGTTGTATTTAATGTGTGCTTGTTGTTGAGGGGTTCATGATTATTTTGGTGGGTTTCTCCGACACTTGTGGATGTCACATCCTAGTAGCAATGACATTCATTTTAACTCATCCTATTACTGTTTGCAAATTAAGGTGGCCATGTTTGTAGAATCTATTTGTTAGTAAACAATCAAGGTCCTTTTGGACTTTGTTTGGCATGAACTGTAACCAAAAAAAGTTTCAGAAACTAAGCCTGGTTGCTTTTGGCATTTGCAATAGCAAATAGTTGGTCAGAAAGTATATTTTTCTGAATTCTACCTAATTTTAGTCAAACATCCATTCTTCAAGGAAAACTAATAAACCATCATACACAGAGACATGTCTAACATTCTTTTAGGTCTCATCCAATGACATCCTGCATTGACCATTGAGAGAAAAAAAAAATTGTCACTGTATAAAGTTTGAGTCTTCTGCTTGATTGCAGGCTGGCATAGTTGAAAGATATAACAGACCAATGCCAAAACTTCGTAGTTCCAGAGAAGAAGCTGGAGCAAGTGGGCAAAAACCATTACCCCCAGGAACACTCTCTGTCGAGCAAGTATGTCAAATTATCCTCCTGCATCAAGGCAAAGCTGTAGATCACCCAGGAGTCATGGATATCCAGGACATTGCTAATAAGTTTGGAGTTGATCCTGGTCAGGTTCAACAAATCACACAATTTATGTCACTGCCTCCACAAGATGGAAAGAGGGAAACACAGTAATGAGTTGCAGGTAGTGACCAATTTGTTAAGATGCTTGACATTTATTGTTTCGGAAAGTTGCATGGGGGTCTTCGCTTTCGAAGAAGGATTTGCCCTTGGGCTGCAAGGAACTTGAAGAACAAGGTTATCACCATCCCATTTTTTCCATGTGGCATACACACTGAGTAATAGTGAGAACTAATAGTGATGAGATATTTCACTTAAATAGATGAGCCTTTTGCTATTACTTTTCAGTGATTGAATGTGAATGACACTTTTGGGTGTCATGCTGTTATCTTGATTTCTGCTAATAAGTAAGCCATGGATAATGAATTGAATAAGATGATGTATTCCATATCTAATTTGAGTCTGTTGTCTTGTTCCAAGTCCTTTGTCTCGGATTATGTGTTTCGACAGTAAAAGTTGTACTGGAGCCGATGTTCTCGTTGAAAGGTTGTGTTAAATTATCCAATACTCTTTTTTTTTTATTTTTGGTTCTCACCACTGATGCTATAACATGAGGGCTTAGAGGAAGTTCTTGCTCACCTTGTCCTAATTTTGCCTAAGCTTATTTTGTATGTCATATTTTCATAGATAAAGTTATAAACATGGTGTTTGATGTACTGTTATCATGTAAAGGTAAAATTATTCAGAAATAAGTATTTTGAAGGTTTTCTAGCTCTATAGAATGGTCTCGAGTGTCGATTAATATAGCACCTAAGAGCTATTCAAGTGGCACATTGTTGGTTGGGCATTTTGGGTAGTGTCTAAGGCTAATTCGTTGTTTTGTTTCGCAACAATGTCATGTGGGCACTTTTGTGGATTTTTGGTCATGGCGAACCACCTTGGACCCTTTATCACGTGATCGTTTAGAGTTTACGAAGTTTATGTTTGTAATTTAAATTGTCTATCAAGTATTTATTAAAATGGTTGTTTGTGGATCTCGAATTAAATTTATTAACATGTCTTCTCTTTTATAGGTCTTTAAGAGACCATAAGAGGTTTTGGCCCTTTGCGAACGGACACGTAAGGCTACCACACAACTTTGGTAAAATCAATTAAGCTTGTGATAAATGATATCAAAGTCGGACAAGCACACTTAGAAACACTTAGCATGCAAACGTGAAGGACCCAATGAGACTGCGTTGAGGGTAGCTAGTATACGTAACCATTTTGGGGAAACAAGTATTGAGATATAGGGAAAGGAGTTGTTCAGAGGAGCGATCATCCGAGATTGACATTTAGAATAATGGTCAACTCTTCACGGGATTGAATTCCCGGTAATTGAAAACAGATATGTCCAAGGGATTAAATTCCCCTATATCGTTTGGGGACTGCGACGTAGTGGGCTAGTACGTCTACAATCGATGAGTCGAGTGAATTATTATGGAGATAATAATTCACTGAGCTAGGAATTCTGATAGGTATGAATCACAACCAGCTTGATATTGGGCTTGGAGGGTCATACACATATGGTAAGTGTTGCGACGAGTAGAGGTTTGTATATAAAATATCCGTCGGAGCCCCTATCTTATTAGATATCCATTAAGCCCCTGAATTATTAGATTTCATAGATGAGATCCAATAAGAGCTAATAAGAGATTCTTGGGTAGAGACCCATTAATCTAAGAGGCTTGGGTAATTGAATGAAGATCCAATACCCAATAGGGCAGAATTTAATAGAGTTAAGTTGAAAGGGGACCACTATAAATATCAGGGAACCAAAGGGCCATATGCTAGGATTTTTTATTGCATAGTGCATATAGCGAGAAAATTTGAGCAGCGATTTGAGGAGCGTCTTTGCAACCCCTTGTTAGGACTCTAGCTAGGAGAGTCCTAATTGAGAGGGACATTCATGTAGGAGGTTTTTTCTTAGAGAAGAATTAGGAGTTGTAAGGGAATATGAGTCTTGAGTAGGAGTCCTATTAGGAGTTGGTTAGAAGTAAGAGTCTTAAGTATGAGTCCTATTAGGAGTTGGTTAGAAGTAAGAGTCTTAAGTAGGAGTCCTATTAGGAGTTAGGGTTTAGAAGCCCTATAAATAGCCATGTATTCCTTCTCTTTTCTTAAGCAATATATGAATCTTTTCTACAGCCTTTGAGCAGCAACTTGGAGGGAGGAACCCCTATAGAGTTCCAAGGAGGCCGATCCCCTAAAGAGATCAACCCCAAGTTTAGAATCTGCAAGGGTTCTAACACCTGGTATCAGAGCAGCGTTCTTGGCGTCTTGCTGCCCTTCCACTGCCATCCATCAACCCTCCATAACTGTCCAAAGCAATTCCGACAATTGCTTAAAAGATCATCGCCAAATTCCGCCATCATCTCCACCACAGCGGATCATCCTGTGAATTGCAATAGGTTCTGGTTTCCTACCTTACTGTTGCTGCAATTTAGTTATCCCTATCCGAAAATCCAAAAAAAAAAAATTTTGTTCCTATATTGCTGCATAAACTTTTCGTCACAAAGTTTTCATCTCTACAACGAAAGATACATTGCAGAATTTCAGCCGCATAGCACTGTTTGTTTGATCTTGATACTATATTTTCTCTGTCATATAAACTAAGATATTACTGTCAATTCCCTCCTCAAATCTCTCAAATTTTTGATGGAGATTTCGTCGAGAAACCACTGTTTCTTCGACGATAATTCTGCTCTTACAAGACAACACAATTCTGCAGCAAACTTTCACTGATTTCTATCAAACCTATACATGCCTTTAACCCGTCAACAAAAGAGAGATCTTAACATCACAGATTTGGAGTCATATACTATGGCATCTGAGGAGGCAATCAATGCTAAATTTGAAGCCTTTGAGGCACGAATGAAGGA